CTCCTGGGTTCAAGCTATTCTCCTGCCTCAGCCTCCTGAGTAGCTGGTTTACGGGCATACACTACCATGCCAACATGGGGTTTTGCCATGTTGGCCAGGTTGGTCTTGAACTCCTGACCTCAAGTGATCCGCCTACCTTGGGCTCCCAGAGTGCTGGGATTATAGGTGTGAGCCACCCCACCCAGCTGATTTTAAAAAAAGGTTTGAAACAGCCCAAATTTGCATACAAGTTGGAAGTACAGTACAAATAATTTTTCTCCTGAACCATTTGATGGTTATATTGCCAACCTAATGCCCTGTCACCTTAAATTCTTGGTGTGCATTTCCTATAAACAAGGACTTTTTCCCACCTAGTTACAATACAATCATCAAAATAAGGAAATTAACATTGATACGAAACCTCCATCTAGTCCTCAAACCCCATTAAAGTTTTGCCACTTGTCCTAAGAATGTCTTTGCAGTAAGATGATCCAGTTCAGAATTGTGAGTTGCATTGGTTATCAAGTCTCTTTGGTCTCCTTTAGACTTTCCTCAATAAACATTCTTTGGCATTCATGACCTTGATACTTTTGAAGATTACAGGCTGGTTATTGTTTAGATTGTCTCTCAATTAGGGTTTGTATGACATTTTCTCATGATTAGATTTAGGCTGTATATCTTCAGGAATGTAACAGAAATGATGCTTTGTTCTTTTCATTGCATGATTTTGATTTATCCCATTATGGATAATATTCACTTTGAACTCTTGGTTAAGGTGATGTCTTCCAGGCTTCTCCGTCATAAAATTACTCCTAGTTGTAATTAATAAGTATTTTGTGGGAAGATATTTTGAAACTATGTAAATATCTTACATCAAAGTTTAATTTTATTGATTTATATCTTTATGGACTCATGGTTTTCTACTCAGTGCGTTACAATTCATTACTATCATTGTTTCTTGGCCAGTGGATGACTTTTGTATCCTTTTGTTATGTTCCCATCATTCTTTGGGTGTTTCCTTGTTTTCCGGTGCAAGATATTATGGGCTCATCGTGTATTTCTCTTGCTACATCCCTGGAATCAGCCATTTCTCCAAGGTACTCTGTTTCTTTTAGTGGAAAATGGTATTTAGAAGGCAACTGGGGCTGGGTGCTGTGGCTCATGCCTATAATCCCAGCACTTTGGGATGCCAAGGTGGGAAGAACACTTGAACCCTGGAGTTTGAGGTCAGCCTTGGCAACACAGTGAGACTCTGATCTCTACAAAAAAATAAAAATACTAGCTGGATGTGGTGGCACATGCCTGTGGTCCAAGCTACCTGGGAGGCTGAGGTGGGAAGATTGCTTGAGCCTGGGAGGTTGAAGCTGCAGTGAACTATGATTGTGCCACTGCACTGCAGCCTGGGCAACAGAGGAAGACCCTGTCTTAAAAAAAACAAAAAACAAGAAGGTAGTAGAGTGCTAGGTGTGCTCATTGCCATTGTTACTGCTCCCTGGCTCTTCCTTAGAGCTAGGAAATATGTATGCATATGCACGTACATTTATGTGTGTGTGTATCAATCAGTCTGTCTATTTATCTGATATAATTCTAATCAGAAACCATGAGTTCACATTCTTCCTGCCAGTTCAGTCCAACACCACAGATTTTCTCCCTTTCCATATTTTAACTACTTTCTCTAACAGTGTGAAACCTGGGTCCCATTATCCTCATTATATGCACTTCTTTGATCAGTCCCTCTGTATGTAGCTAATTTCCCATTACTGCCACTGCCCTTTACCCCTCATGAGTGCCTCTTTTGCCCTGTCTGTGACACCCCACATCGGACTGCCACCCGACATGGATGCTCTCCACCCTCCCCTTGCTCTGATATGCTGCACCACACCTTTCCACCTCTGCATGGATGCCTTCCTCACCCTGCCTGGGCTCTGACAGTGTTCCCCAGACCTCTCTGGCTTATCCTACTCCACCTGTTACAGATATCTGCCTTCTGCTGCTGCACTTAATGGCTTTAGGATTGAGTTTTTCAGAAAGGGAAGAGGAAGAGCTACCCTTTGTTTCTTGACTTGAACTGAACTTCGTTGTTAGAAGTAAGGGAAGTATGGAACTCAGTAACTGCTGGTATGTGGAGGCCCGACCTCCTAATGTCTACTCTCAAGACTTCCTACAAGAGAAGTTGTTTTTTTGTTTTGTTTTTGAGTTGTGGTCTTGCTCTGTCACCCAGACTGGAGTGTAGTGGTGGCATCACAGCTCACTGCAGCCTTAACCTCCTGGCTCAAGAATCCTCCTACTTCAGCCTACCAAGTAACTGGGACTATAGGCATGCACCACCCTGCCCGGCTAATTTTTAATTAATTAATTAATTTTTTTGAGATGGAGTCTCACTCTGTCACCAGGCTGGAGTGCAGTGGCGTGAACTCAGCTCACTGCAGCCTCCACCTCCCAGGTTTCAGTGATTCTCCTGCCTCAGCCTCCCGAGTAGTTGGGACTATAGGTATGTGCCACCATGCCCAGTTAATTTTTGTATTTTTAGTAGAGACGGAGTTTTACCATGTTGGCCAGGATAATCTCCATCTCTTGACCTTGTGATCCGCTCGCCTCAGCCCCCCAATTTATTTTTTGTAGAAATGAGGTCTCACTATGTTGCCCAGGCTGGTTTCAAACTCCTGGACTCAAGCCATAATTCTGCCTCACCCTCCCACAGTGCTGGGATTACAGCCCTCAGTCACTGTGCTTGGCCAAGAGAAGCTTTTGTTGTAGAGGGAACCAGGTGATAAAGCAAGGCCTGCAGGGAAGAGGACCGCTGGCCATCAGAATAGGGTATATGTAGTATGCTCTATCGGAGGTCTAGAGCATTTTAGGGATGCAGAAGACATCAGTATTATTCTCTGAGGCTACCTTATGCATTAATTGGATTTGTAGGCCCAGAATCTGGGGATAAAGGCTTGGCAGGTGGGCATAGCCCAATAGGATAGTAATAACAATAGGCTAATACTTATTAAGTCCTTGTATGGCAGACACTGTTCTTAGTGCTTTACATGTGTTGTCTCATTTTATTCTCACTTATGGAGTAGTTGCTGCTGTTATTGTCATTTTACACATGAGGAATTGAAGAACAGAGCTTGCCCAAGGTGCCATGGCTAGTAAGTGGTAAAGCCAGGAATCAAACCTGGAAGCCCTCCTTACTCACGATGCTTAATTGCTTATAGTATTTGGTATACAGGATCTGACTGACTGTATATACTATGCATATTCTATGAACATTATAGAACATTAGGATTTTCAGAAGTCTTTACGGTTTTTTATGTGGTTAGAGAAGAGTCTAAGTCCTTGAGGGACTTCGGCTCCAAACTAGAATGGGTAATTTGAGCAGACTGATGTCTCCCATCTCATCAAGGCTTCCAGTACTGTTCAGGAATAGGTGATGTGAACATTCTGGCCTTCAAAGGGATATTGGCCCTTTTGCCTTTCCAGGAGATTCCATAGTGAAACTCAAGCTAGCGTTTGTCTACTTGGGCTGAGTTTTGGCTGTATTTTTGGTGAGGCTATAAAGCAATAGTGAAAACAAGTGCTGTGCTTGTGCAGGATCCATGAAGAACTTAAAATATATTTTGATCTTAGCTCCACTGAATCCCCCTGAAATCTCATTATAGAGATGGGGAAATTGAGGACCCACACTAGCATATATCCTAGTAAATATACAGGCAAGTTACTGTAGCTCATTCAGTGAGTCAGGAGAGAGATGGGAAGACAAGCCATACTTGGCATTATGTGCTTCTGCTCAGGTAGCAGTGACCTCATTGCCCTTGAGTGTACACTAGACTTCACAGGGTGCTAGCTCCTCTACCCTATGTGGAGAGAGCCGGGTGCCCACTTGCAGCCATTCAGAGGGAAGCCTTTGGCTCTGTTGGAATGGTGCATCAGAAAGTACAAACCGTGGCCATTACTATATTGTATGGTGAAATTTCTTATTTGAGGATTAAAGTTGAGAAGAATTTGAATATTGGGTATTAAAGAGAGAAAGACAACATTTCTGCTTTGTTCCTTTTTTTATTTTTAGGGAAGTTTGAGTTATTTGTGAGTAAAACTTAGGCTTTGATTTTTATATTTAGTTAGGCATCTGAGGAGCAGGCATTCTGCAAATTTAAAGGGAAAATTTAAAGGAAAAGTGATTTGATTTTTTTTTTTTTTTTTTGCACATGTTCCCTCAGAAAACTTTACTAGACTTTTAGCCATGCTCCTATTACTGCCACATCTGGGTTTTCTTTTTCTTCCCTATTTAAAAAGTCTGCAGTCATTCAGGGCCTGTAGCAGGGACCTAGTCTAAGGCAGCAAGAGAGAAGGCCTAAGGCTGTTGCCAGCTGTGCTCTCCAGGCATTGTTCATTCCCCCAGGGTGCCACTTACTAGTTTGGGGGTTGGGGAAGCACCAGAATGTCGGGAGCAAACTCCCCTGTGATTCGCTTTGTTTGCCTTTGCCTTGGGAGAGGGGAGGAGGGTATGTAGAGATGTCAAGATACAGACTGGAAAGCCAGGGGCAAATGGCTCCTAGTCCAGCTGAGAAGAGAGCCTTGGACATTTTCTGCTGTTTGTCTGAGTCTGCTTAGCTTCCAGGACTGATTGTACAACAGGGTCACCTCACGTTACTTTGGGACCCATAGCTTCAATGTTAACTGCTGCCACCTGAGAAGTGACTGCACAATTTTTCTCTTTTGAACTTTAGAGCTCCATTTAAAGATGAAGGCCAGTGTTGCATGTTGTTTTGAGAATGATCTGGGAGACTCTGAGCTGTAATAATGCTGCAGGTGCTGCTATTAGGGTCTTGAACTTTAGTAAGAAGTACTGTGATTCAGAAAAGGGGCCCAGAAACACTGGGGAGTGGCTCATGTTGTGTGGATATTCCTGAAGACTAGATGGAGCAGGGCCACAGTGGGAGGGAGTAACCCAGGCTCTCTGTTCTTTTTTTTTTTTTTTTTCTTCATTTTTTTTTTTTTTTTTTTTTTTTTTTTAACTCTCCTCCCCTAAGTTTTAGATGCTTCTGGATGTTCAATGCTAGCACCTTTACAGACTGGAGCAGCTCGATTTTCTTCGTATTTACTTTCAAGAGCAAGAAAAGTGCTGGGCTCGCACTTATTTTCTCCCTGTGGTGTTCCGGAGTTCTGCTCCATATCCACCAGAAAGCTGGCGGCCCACGGCTTTGGCGCATCCATGGCGGCAATGGTGTCCTTCCCTCCCCAGAGGTATCACTACTTTTTAGTGCTGGATTTTGAGGCCACGTGCGACAAGCCACAGATTCATCCTCAGGTAACTGTTGCATCCTTGCTTTAGAAAAGGTGGGGTGGGCAAGGAGGGAGGGAGGATAGTTTTGCTTCCTGGGACCCAAAGGAGCTTTTTCATGTCTTCCTGTTTTTTAGCTACTCATTTAGAGTTCCTGTCTAGGAAGCAGGACTTGGTTCAAGTATGCTAGTGTAAGGTAGACCTGAGAAGTCTCTGGGGAGAACTGGGTACATTGTTTCTCTTTGGTATCAGCTTTTGGGAATCAAAATATTTCCTTCTTTCCTATCTTTCCTTTCTCTGTTCTCTTCTTTCCTGTATTCTCCTGCTATTGCCACTTGTTCCTTTAAGGAGTACTGTGGCAGCCAGCCTCCAAGATGACCTCAGTGATCCTTATCTCCTGGCATTCACACCCTTAGTAGTTCCCCTCCCTCACTGAATCAAAGATATCCCTGTGTAACTAATAGAAGAGGTACATGTGTGTAGGAACTGAGGCTCTTAGCCAAAATCCAGTGCCCAACTTGCCAGTCATGAGAATGAGCTGTCTTAGAAGTGAATCTATAGAAGTGAATCTACTAGCACCAGTCAGGCCATCAGATGACTGCAGCCCTAGTGGACATGTGACCTCAACCTTAGGAGAGACTTTCGGACAGACTAGCGAGCTGAGCCACTCTCAAATTTGTGACTCACAGGAACTGTGAGGGATAACAAATGATTATTGATGTTTTAAGCCACAAGTTTTGGAATGATTTGTTATACAGCATTAGATAACCTGACCAAGTACCATTGTTGGTCTGTTGGAAAGGACAATTTCTTTGCTTGCTTTTTTTCATTAGTCACCAGCTGTATTCAAAGACCTTTTACCTTCTAAGGTAATGCTACTAGGAAGCTTGGATTAGCTGCAGGTAATATTGAAATATGTGGTGATTGCTTTGAGGGAATAATGTGGTGGGGGGGGGAGTGCCGATGTGGCAGTTCATTGTAGTGTTGATACGTTGAATATGCCTGGCTCTAGGATTGTAACTTTTCCCTACAGGGTTAAGTTATAGAGTGTGTGATTTTTGGGATACATACGCATGTTGCTCTGGGAACAGCTTTCAATAGTAAGGAGGAGGGAAAGAAGGGGACCTCAGCATTGGGCACTTGGGAGGTAGGGAGGAGTGTGGTCCATTCAAAGATAAACAGGTTCATTTGTTGTGGTTGGTTTTTCTGTCTTTAGAAGGGTAGATTATTTTACATAAGCCAGATACCACAGCCTCTTTAGTTTTCCCTTTCTCCTCTCCTCTTTCCCATACTCCCTTAAAACACTGATTTGCCTTTGGGGCATTGGAATGAAGCCTACTGAGGGCTGGGAACACAGGAGCTGGATAAAGAGAATATCCTAAAGAAAGGTCCCTTGGGTGAAAGGGAATGCAGCTTGGGAGCTGCTCAAGCCACATTTACTTCCTCTGCCTCTTGCTCCTGCCTGTACGGTAGAGTCTTCTTCCCTGCCTCTCCAAACTACTGGGGTTTCTCTGGTGTGGTAGGGGTAGCTGGGTGGTGCGTTGTGGGAATTTTGGTTATGTAGATGGTTAGATTTGGTTATGTAGATTCCCAACCTTCCCAGGTTGGAAATCGGGGATCCGAATCTTAATATGTTATATTTATTTCTACTACTCGGTGGATATAGGTTTCAGTCACTGAGTAAGCCCTAGTGGGACATGAGACTGAAATCTAACACATCTCTGTCACGTATGATTCATCCCTCTTCTGATCACTCATAATTGCTTGGCACCTCCATTATGGCATTTAATGCTTTCCAGCATATGCTTATGTATGTGTATTTTCTTACCTTTTCAGTTAGATTATAAGCTCAGATAATTATGTAGCTCTGTTTCCTTGTCCTGCAGAGGGTCCTGCCAATATTCCTGAAGGTGAAGCCTGAATCATGTCTCAGTTTGGTCTGTCAATGTCACCTTTCATCTCTCTTTCAAGGGCATTATTTTTGCTTTTTTATTTATTTATTTATCACAATGCTGAAGACATCATGCAGTACAGATTTAAACAGCTTGTGTCACCAGCTTCCTTCCCAGACTTAGGCACCAAGACCTTCCAGACCCAGGCTGAGTTAGGGCTTCACATTGTTTACCAGGATCGGGGCCTGATTAAAGATTATCTCCAGAATCAATGAACCCTGATGATGTGATTCCAAGGGCACTTAAGGAATTGGCTGCCCTGGTTCATTATTAGCAAAGCATTAGCTGTTGCTTTAGAGAACTCGGGAAGAAGCATTTGCTGTCTTGCTTATCTTTAAAAGAGGAATACGAATGATCTTGGAAATTATAGACCCGTTAGTTTACTGTGATTCCAGAAAAGATACTTGACCTGATCGTCAGATAATCAATCAGCAAACAGCTAGAAGAGTGTGGGGCACTGAGTAATAACTTACATGGGTTTGTGAAGAAGAGCAAATCCTGTCAGATCAATCTAACTTCTTGCTGTGACATAGTGATGGATTTGAGTGGATCTAGGGCAAGTGATAAATGTAATGCATCTTGACTTCATTAAACCTCTACAATGCTGTGATCAACAGTTGGGAAGGTGAGTTTGGGGCCAGAAATCTGTGTTGAACTACCCATCAGACCATCTTCAGGAAAGAGATGGCAGATTGAGACTTGTTAGTAGCAACTTACAAATCTTTTTTTATCGGAGAGCTTTTTTTAAGGTTTGCAGATAGCAGGATCCTGATGGGATTCAAAGAAAGCTAAGAAGACGGTTTTGTAAAGTTCTCAGTCCTAGATAGAATAGTATCCTTCCATTGAGATCAACATAGGTCAGGTTCTCATTAGAGCCTCTGTGCTGTTTAGGTCTTCTGGTTAACCAGTGAAGTGGAGAAATTGGAAAAGCTCAGGATAAGACCAAAAATCATTAGAGGCGCAAAAATAGAACTTAGAAAGGAAACTGAATATAGTTTTGGTGATGATTTCTTGTCCAGACTAAATAATTTCATCATGTGAAGAGTAGGTATTCCAAGAAATATGATAACAACTTGCTCTTGATTTTAATAAGGACAAAAAAGAAAGAATTTTAAATGGAAGCAGGAAAGGTTGAGATTTGGGATGAGAATGAACTGCCAGAAGAGACAGCAAAAGGACCGGAATAAGGTATATACCTTAGGTCAGCCTTCCTTGGTGCTCTCTCAGAACGGCTTGATGGCTTTCCATTTGACAGAGATTCTTTGATTCTTTATGAGTATGATCTGCATGCCTCCTGGGAGTAGGGCTGGAGACCGGGTCTTGTTATGTTGCCCAGGCTGCAGTGCAGTGGCATGATAACGGCTCACTGCAGCCTCAACCTCGAGCCTCAACCTCCTGGGCTCAAATGACCCTCCTGTCTTAGCCTACCAAGTAGTTTGGACTATCGGTATGCTCCATCATGCCTGGCTAATTTTCTGTTTTTTTTTTTGTAATGTTGGGGTCTTGCTATGTTGCCCAGGCTAGTTTCAAACTCCTGGGTTCAAGTGATACTTCTGCCTTGGCTCCCACCACAGTACTTTGATTACAGATGTGAGCCACCACAACCAGCAGGAACTTTTAATACTCAAGACCCTGCATGGTACACTTTTTTTTATGAGAGTGTGTCATACCTACCGCTTGAGTGTATAAGAGGCAGAAACAGTTTTGGGCCATGACCTATTTGGAGGCTTAATGTGGGGCTCTTTTATCTGTCTTTGATTTTCAGAAGTCCCTGAGTGAGCTGAGTCAGCTTACTGGTACTATCCTAAAGGAATGCCATCATGAAAAACTAACAGGTGTAAGCTCTTTTGTACTTGGGTGAGTAACAGTATTGGTTATAAACATGGTAAAACATGGTATTTTCCATTTGTCATCAGTTTTGCTGTTTATTTTTGTACTTTATTCAGCTAGGTGAAACTGGAGTGGTTGGCTTGCCAGTAATAGGCTTTGGTGTTCTGGTTTTTGCACTCATTTGTATTACATGTTTTGATTCAGATTAGCATGATAGGTATTCGTTGAGTAGGAGACTGTTTTTCATTTGAAAACATTTTTTCACTTAAGTGTTAATTTAGATGGTTTAAAATGTTTTAGAGGGCCTAAATTTTAGGAATGCAGCTCCTTTCTTGTTTTAGGAATTGTTTCCTAACATAGAAGTAGATTTTTATCTGGTTTAGGAGAATTGTGCCTCCTTTGTCCTCACTAGCAGGAGTTCACATTGCTCATTTTGGTGTGGATGTGCACCGAATGATGGTTGTTGTGACCCTGGGGCCCAGAGAGCAGCCTGAAAGCTTTGGTGGGATCTTTAATTGTGCATCTTTAACCTTGGGGCAAGTTCTCTCACCACCTCAGTGTTCAGAAGAGACCAAAGCAAATGTAAGAGAGGAAAATGAGGTATAGGCCACAGCACGTTGGGAGGAGGAGGTAACGTCAGCTGTCTGGATGGCCAGGGAGGGAGGGGGCGGCCCAGCTCTCCCCATCTAAGGCGCTGCCATCCAGGCCGCTGCCCACATTCCTCCCCTGGTGCTCTGGCTTCTGGATAGTCTTTTTCTCTCTGCTCTGCAGCAACCCTACTGACTGTTTGCCTTCTCATCTATATTCAAGTGCCCATAATTTTGGAGAAAAATGACCTTTGGGGATGAGGTTTCTAGTGTTTGGTCTTTGTCCACGGAGGCATTTTTTTTTTTTTTTTCTTTTTATGGAAACCTTGAACAGAGTCGATCTGCATTTTGAGTTAGAACTATAAGTAAAGGAGTTTCTTGTTTCTAGAGGATTGTCCAGATGCTGGGTTATTTTTGAAGGGTAGGTGGGGAGGGTTAATGGTGACAGAGAAGGGCTGATACAGAAGAAAGGCATTTGGAGGGTTTTAGTGTGACCTAGAGCTGCCACATTGTTACTGTTGTTTTGTGAAAGAGACATTTTGGAAAACTTTAAAGGAAATTGGTTAAGATCCGTATAAAGCAAACTATATTGATTCCTTTTTCCTTCTTCAAGGCTGAAAGGCAGGAATCCTCTTAACCTCAGTGCAGCCTTCCTGCTCTGCCCCACACATTGTTCTTTGCACCACGTTTAGCTTCTTTCCTTCTCTCTGTTCTTGGTTTCTGCCGTGACTAAGTGAACAGAAAAGCAATTCCCTGGAGGAGGAACCCACCCTTCTCTTCCCATTCGCTTGTCCTGGTTGCAGCTCCTCCAAGGGGGAGAGATGAGGCCCAGGCCTTTTCCCTGGAGAGCCTAATCCTTAGATTGTGGTCCCTCTGCCTGTGGCCCCAGTCAGCATGCACTTTTTTCTGTACAGACAGGCGAAGGCGCTGACGCTGTTCTTCTAAACTGGTAAATGAAATGCAAAACCGACTTTAATGTTACATTATGGTTGAGATTAAATGCACCAAAATCAGGAAATTCAAAGTTATGCTTCCCACAGCAACTATAACTCAGCCTCATCTGGCGTGTGTAGTATTTTGTGTTAGTGTGGATGGTGTTATATGTTAAGACATTAAAGTTAACACCATAAGCAGAGCACAAAATGCTTGAGGGGGCTGAGTTATGTTGACTGTGTGAGCCGTAGTATTCTTGCACAGGCTCCCAACTCCTGGAATAATTTTTCCCCTGCCCATCAGAGCAATTATTGCCTTTCTTTTTAGTTATATCTCTACTTTAACACATCTCTTCTTTCAGGGTCACTATAAATGTATTCTTCTATTGATGGCCAGTGATGGTTGTAGGAATGGGGCGGCCCACTAGTCCCCTTTGTCTTTTTTGTCACTGCCTCCATAAATGTGATACTTGCCCCTCCTCCTCCCAAAGCCATCTTCCTCCACAGGCTGCTGTTTCTTGGTGGTCCCTCCTAAGTATAGGTCTCCCCTTGGCTCCCACTATGGCTTCCCACTAGTATTCTCAGAATGGGAACAAGCGTTTGCTGTGTCCTAGTCTTGGCTGTATTGCAACTTCACATGAAAGCCGAAGGGCCTGTCTTTATTTGGAGCAGACATAGCAATGTAGAAGTAAAATATACATCTCGGAGAATGGAGCACTGATGCATGGTGAGGCTGCCTTGTGTGTTTGGCATAGCAGAGGCAGGATCGAAGGGGTTTATTTGCTCTATTCAGACTGCTTCTCCACCTTCCCCAGGGCTTATATCTTTAAGCTGCCATGGTGTGTAATAGGCTGTGGAGTTGCCTGGGGGTGGGGTCAGGAACTTTCCTTGGGGAACACTGGTCACTGGTAACAAAATCACCACATAATCAGAAAACATCCCCTTTAGCCCCTAGCCTCTTATTATCCTGGTGGCCTCCCCGGGGCTGAGACAGCTGTTGGAATGCAGATTTTTTAGGCACTGGGCTAAGGTTGGTGGTGGGGAAGAGCTCTAAAGAATAGGGCCATTGATAAATGGGGAGTGAAATCAGGGACTGTAAAATAACAGTGACACTGAGCTGCCTTTTAAAGTTTTTGTTGGACGTGACAAAACAACTAAGTCGGCAAAGAAATGGGGAAGACCTCATTATAACCACCTTAGAGGCAATGAAAAGGTTTCTTTTTACTCTTTGGATTGTAACTTAAAGCTCTGTGTTAGATGTTGGGGATATGAAGAGAAGTAAGGAATGGTCCCTACCCTCAGGGAGCTCATAGTCAAGGAGGGCATACGTTTGTGTAACAACCATTTGGCCATGTGATAACCACCATGACACGGGTAAGTACTTGTTAACGGGGTGGGGGGGGGCACAAAGGATGGGAATGATCAACCCTGCTCACAGTGTGGGGGAGGGCTGCATATTTTCATGTTATAAGAAATTCAGGAGACCAGAGAGAGCCAAGTGGGCCTGAGGCCATTCAGAAGTATTACAGCAGGAAGAGAAGGGGTTCACAGAGTAAGCCAGAATGAAATGGCCTACATCTGAAAAAACTGACCTTGATTGCAGGGTTGTTTGTGGAAATGTTGAAAATGAGATAGAAGGAGAATAAAGACTTTGAACCTGGCAACTATTTCACTGTTCAGTTAGTTGGATTATCTATATCAGTTTTACCCATTTCTCACATTCGAGCTAGAAGATCTTATTGGAATGCTGTAAGTGGAAGTACAAAGGCTAGAAGAGACTTAAGAGCATTTTACCCAACAAAGTGTGGTCAAAGGGTAAGGGCAAAAGTGGAAATGGTGTGAGCTAAGGCTTTGAGGCATTGCCTGAGAGGCTAATCTGATACCTCAGCATAGCATTTGGTTGGGCTGCTGGGACCCTAAGGAGAGTCAAAGGCTGGAGAATGACATGACGACTCCCCTTCACCTACTTCCTGCTTAAAAAAAATACTGGGAATTTGGATCTGGATCTGCTAGGACCCACCTTCAAACCAGAGAGGTTTAGACCCTTCAAAGAGATAAACATGTGGCTATTATTGAGATTAGTGTGGAAGGAATGACTGATGAAGAGGCAGAAGGGTCTGGGTAATGTGGAGATTGGTGGGAGCAGAAGGGACTGGAGGGCATAAGGGTGGTGACTGAGCTTCCTCTGGGCATCAGCAACAGGTACAGCCACAGAAAGCAAGCCAGCAGGTTGGAAAGCAGGGGCAGTGGGGAAAGTGAAATCCAAAGGAGTGTTTAGGTTAAGTCCATAGGCTTCACTTCTCCCTCCTCTATCCTGCCTTGCTTTTCCTCTCCCCTCTTGGTTACATTTCTTTTGTAGACTGATTTCCATTGTTTGTCATGAGGAAATGGATATCAGGAGACCTTTTCTCCATCTCTGTGTCTTATTGGGAGAAAAGGATCTTGCATCATTTTGATTAAGATGCCATTGGGATGATTATTTTTTATCCTCTTACCCTGGGTGTTCACACTACTTAAAAAAAACCCACAGCCTTACATTTATGTGATGAGTTTTGAGCTCTGGCTGTAAAAATTGAGCTATAGCCTAAAAGCCTGAAATAAGAGTGTACCCACGTTAACACCAGCCCCCCCAAGGCTGGCAGGTCTGCAGCAGAAGGGTGAACAGGCTGGCTCATGCAGAAGGGTGTTTATATGTATTGATGTTACCATGGACAAAACTCTGTTAGGTGTTGGGAGAGTCAGAAAGGAGGTAAATCAGAAAGGAGAAATCTGGAGGGAGAGACAGATATCAGGGCAGATTTTATTTGGATGTAGGGGTGCA